TAAAGTCACATCTCGGTTGATGTACTCCCAAAACAATTACAGACTGAAGCTATAAATTTCATGATAGAAATAATCGTGTATTTAATAATATTCTTTATTCCAATACTCTAAATACTCAATTTACATATTACATATCTTTTGTATCATATATCATATATCTTTTGCCATTTGAATTTGGTAAATATTTTATTTTTCAAATTTGGTTTGTGAATCAGTCACATCTTGTTGCTTTAACACTCCCAAAACAATTAAAGACTGAAACTATAAATTTCATGATAGAAATAATTATATACTTAATAACATTCTTTATTCTAACACTCTCAATATTCAATTTACTTATCACGATGAACTTTTGAAGTTTGAATTTGAACTTTTTGAAGTATTTAGTGATAAACTCGGTTGAATAAATAATCGTTTTGTGATTAGAACTGCTGTGCATTTGTGTAATGGAGGATCGTATAACGAAGAGTTCTAGCCTTAAAATAAATTTTTCTTTCATGCTATCTACCGAAGAGAATCTTCATCTTCGTTGCAGGAAGTGTGTAAAGACCGTACCCCGAGATATTTAGGGACCCGTTACGACATCGAGTTTTTTTTTTTTGTAGATGTGTACGTGCGTGTAACACAATGTTGCTTTAGCCGCTTGCTACATTGTAAGGAAAGGGCATTCGTTAGACCCAACCATAATTTTCTACATTTCTGAAGTCTGTTCCCATGGAGGCGATATTTCTTTAAACGACCGTTACGTTACGAAATATCGCTGTTATGTTTTCAACCTTTTTCTTTTCCGTTAGCCCATTAAGTGACGAAGTTTGAATTACTGCCTTTTCGAAATTCGTGCCCATTTACGTTATTTAAGCATTTTTATTTAACAGGAAAAATAATCCTTTCGTGAAATATTTAATTATTAGATACTTCAAATTTCTTCATGGAAACTTTCTTCACGGCAAATATTGTTTTGTATATTTTTTTTTTTTAGTGATGAATTGTAATAAAATAAGATATATAGGTAGTTTCGTTAAAAAAAACTTGGGGTACATATTTTTGTAATTCATAATTATTATAGACAAGGTTAAAGCAATATTACAGGATTTTATTTAACAGGAAAAATAACCCTTTCGTGAAATATTTAATTATTACTTACTTAAAATTTCTTCGCGACAAATATTGTTTCTTACATTTTTACTTTTTTTTTAGTGTTGAATCGAAATAAAATAACCCGGGAAAAATTTTAATGAGAGATTATAGAGACTAAAATAAGACGAAATTCAAGAATATCAATTTGTTGATGGAGGCTTCGTTAAAAAATTATTAACGTTTAAAGTTCCGCCAGTATTGAATTTTTTTCTCGAAAATGCGCAAGATTTCGGGGTTATGTCTATTCACCAAAAATGATTGCAATTGACCCCCGCAACTGAAAATAATTTTTTCCAAAATGATCTGAAATTTTTTTCCCCGTCGAAAAACTTCACATCTTCACGAATTTTTTTCTCGAAAGTGGGTAGGATTTCGTGGGTATGTGTATTCACCAAAAATTATTATAATTGACTCCCGCAACCGGAAATAATTTTTCCAAAACGATTTAAAATTTTTTCCCCCCTTCGAAAAACTTCACATCTTCACGAATTTTTTTCTCGAAAGTGGGTAGGATTTCGGGGGTATGTGTATTCACCAAAAATTATTATAATTGACTCCCGCAACCGGAAATAATTTTTCCAAAACGATTTGAAATTTTTTCCCCCCGTCGAAAAATTTCACACCTTCTCCAATTTTTTTCTCGAAAGTGGATAGGATTTCGAAGATATATGTATTCACCAAAAATGATTGTAATTGACCCCCGAAACCAAAAATAATTTTTCCAGAACGATTTGAACCCCCCCACTGAACTCTAAAATCCCCCCATTAAAATTTTTCCCAGGGTTGGCCGAACACCCTGTATATTTGTATGAAACTTTTTTCTGAACTAGAGCTCATGTTTACCTACAAAAAAGTATCAGACAACTTTTCTACAGCGCGTCAAACAAAATTACTAAAAATGAAAAACGAATTTTTAAGAAAAATCGACAGTAATTTTTATACTTTATAACTTTCTTAATTTATTATCTTACGCGATAAGAGTTGTTCGTTGCAATAAAGGTGTTCAAAATTCGTGGGTGTGATCGAGTCGAAAGAATGGCGTCGGTCCCGTAACGAAGTAAGACGAAGATAACATCAGATATTCGTCCATGTGTGCCTCGACCAGTATGGGCCACCTTTCCCGCCAGAAATTCTGGCGCCAACGTTTCGTTCGGATTCGTTAACTGGAATCCGTTCGGTTGCTAGGGACCGGACATTCGAGCGACACATAGCCGTAAATTAAACGAGGCTCGAAAGCGCGCGATTTTTCAGCGCGCGTCGGCCACGGGGAAAAGGATCGTTCGTTCCGATGATTTTTCGATCCGGCCTCGCATATTCGATCGTTGAAATTTTCTCACGCATTTTCTGCCGCGCTAATTACCAATGCACGACAGATGCTCGATAACTCGCCTCGACAACGTTGTTCGTTGTTCGTGACGCTATGTCGAATTGTGAATACGTACGATAAGTATACGTACGCTTATCTTGTATAGGTTATTCACCCATAAATCGTCCTTTGCGTACTTTATACACTCCTAGCTCTACACAGTGATTTTTTTAACACGCAAGCAACAGAATTCTGAACAATCCTGGAACGTAAGCGTGTTAAGATTAGATGATAAATAACTCTCGTCACAGAAATTTATTCGATCGAGTTATTCATCATATTTTTTACTTATTCGATGTTTTTTGCTTACAAACGTTCTACATTAAAAATGTAAATATTCGTTAAATTTTGTTTTGTCTTTTCTCACTAATGTTGCGAAAAATTGAAAATTTGAAATAGATGATAAATAAGTCTCGTCACAGAAATTTATTCGATCAAGTTATTCATCAGAAATTTATTCTACGATTAAAACAGTAATTTCAAAACTAGTTTACCTTTTACTTATTCCATGTCTTTACGTAGGTATAAATTTCGTTTATCTTTGCTTACGAGCGTTCTACATTAAAACTGTGAATATTCGTTAAATTTTGTTCGCCTTTTCTGACGAATGTTGTGCATTGAAAATATGAAATAGATGATAAATAAGTCTCGCCATAGAAATTTAGTTATTCATCATAAATTTATTCTACGATTTAAACAGTATTTCCAAAATTAGTTTACCTTTTACTTATTTCTATTTCACGTAGGTATAAATTTCGTTCATCTTTGCTTACGAGCGTTCTACATTAAAACTGTGAATATTCGTTAAATTTTGTTCGCCTTTTCTGACGAATGTTGTGCATCGAAAATTTGAAATTCCGTCGGTTGCATCGCGACACTTGTGGAAATGTATGCAGGCAGGTGAATCCTCGTGTAATCCTCGGTGTTAGTGTACAGCTCAACGCTCCTTTCACCTCGCGTTACTGCAATAAGTCATCCCCACGCGAACAGGTGCATCTTGTCGTGGCTAATCCGATTAATTATCGCGCCGCGGAAAAGGGGCCGGAAAACCGACAGTTTTCGGTTTGCTCGCTAATTGCCTCACATTTTTGGCGATTAAGCAAATAGAAAGCCAACCACCTACACTATCTAGAGGTAGATACACACGAACCCGAGATAAAGGAAATGCGGAGACGGGTTAATGGGCACTCTTCACACTTGCTGGAGCTAACAGTCTTTTTTGCTTTCGTAGTAAAAGCGTTAATGGATGATTAACGATACCGGGCAGACATAAAAGTGCACAGTTGCGCAACGTTGCACCATTTAGTTATATTCTATACTTTTATTGGGATTTATATTGCAATTAAATTCGTTTGCATTTTATAATATGCATATTTCTTTATAATTTCTGCAGTTTTTATGTAAATATTTAACTTTGAGGACCTCGACAAAATTTATAAATCTGAAGAGAATTTTGATACAGAAACTCGGTGCAATTGTAGAGTGTAATTTTTCTTTTTTTATAGGATTTTGTAATTTTGTATAGGATGTGTTTGTTATGTAGAATTCTGTAATAATAGTGTTACAGTAAAGCTAGTGTGAAAATACGATCGCAGCGCCATCTTACTCTTGAGCAGTCGGTAAAAAACGAACCTACTCTTCCAGCTGCTGATTTTATATATTCTCGTACCAGTCGAGAAAAAGTTCGTCTTTGCACGAACGAGTTATACGAGTAGACCTTGCACACTATGGACTTTCGTGGTCCAATCTGACTGCCATATCGACATGAAATTTATTTACGCAGTAGAGCTCGTGGATACCTACAAAAAAGTATTAAACAACTTTTCTGTACAGCGTCAAACCATATTATTATAAATGAAAAACAAATTTTTAAGAAAAATCGACAAGGGGGTGTGCCTAAATTTCTCCGGCGAAAAAAAAATTCGAATCGTTCTAAAAAAATTATTTCTAGGTTCTGGGGTCAAATGCAACCATTTTTGGTCAATACAGATACCCTCGAAATCCTACGCACTTTCGAGAAAAAAATTCAGTAAGGTGGACCAATTTTTCGGTGAAATTTAAAAATTTCGAATCGTTCTGAAAAAATTATTTCTGGGTTCTGGGGGCAAATACAACCATTTTTGGTCAATACAGATACCCTCGAAATCCTACGCACTTTCGAGAAAAAAATTCAGGAAGATGGACAAATTTTTCGGCGAAATTTAAAAATTTCAAATCATTGTGAAAAAATTATTTTTATTTGCAGGGGTCGATTACAATCATTTTTGGTGAATACACACATTTCCGAAATCCCACGCAATTTCGAGAAAAAAAATTCATTACCAAAGGTATAATGTGTGGCTAGAAATGTTTAGTTGATTCAGTGCTCCAATACAGAATTCCAGAGTGATCGAGAGTCCATTATGACTGAAACAAATAGGTGTAATAGTTAATAAATAACGGATGTGATAATATAACCGAGAGATTAATTGTTTCTGTTTCAATTCTTCTGTTCCAGGCTAGTCGTACACTCGCACCCTGGGAACATTTGTTGTCCTGTCCGAACTGTTCTTTCCCATGTCACGTGGACGGCGAGAAGAACGTGGGAACGTGTTCGAGACAAGGTTGCTTGATGGAATTTTGCACCTCGTGTTCCTCGAGGCCGCACACCGGTCCTTGCAAAACACCCCTGTTAGCCACGCCGACCAAGAGGAACAAACGCCTAATCGTTGGCTCGAGACAGAGCAAACGGAACCTCAGGAGATTATAAAAGCATTTTCATCGGGAAACGTCCATCGTCGAACAGATTTTTACCAGAAGAAGGTTTTCCTTCGACCGTAGCCACGTATCTTAAGGAACGTTAACGTACAGTCCTTCCAGCTGGGTGGACAGAAGTTCCGGTTCGTAACTGAGACGAGCCATCCTCCAAAGAATCGTAAAATGAAAGTACCAGATGGATCGCTAAGTACCAACGTCAGACATCGATTTCTCCATAACTATAACACGAGTCAGTAGTTAAACACAAAGTATTTAACATCGTTCGACTTGCCAAACTTCTCTTCTTCTCTTTCATACTGAAAGCAAAACGGTTATCTCTGTAACCGAACACATTTCACTTAGCTCCGTCGGTAACTTCAATTCTACAATTCGTCGGTAAGGCAGACGTTCAAAGGAACGCCCTGTCACGAGTAATTGGCAATTCGAATCTGTTTTATCGACTCAATTCGGTGAGGACTGCGATGCAAATGGGGTCTTCTTAGAGTATAGCAAAAAATTCGAGTTTCGGCCGCTCCCTCGTCGAAGCTGGTTTATTCGACGTCGCGTTAGCGCCGAGTTTATGGCGTTTCGGGAAACCGTTTGTCCGCCAGTTTGCTTAATTTCTCGTTCGTAAATTTGCACGATGCAAAACAAACGATTCTTCCAATAGTTGTAAATTTGTTATATTGCAATCGTCAGGGCTTTTAAGCGCACCTTAAATTTCGTAATCGAGCCGGTGCAACCGAGTTTCGACGTTCTCCCCGGAGCCCGAACGGCGGGAGACAAGAGGGAGATGGCCGAAGATCGCCGATTAACAGCACGGACAAGAAACGAAGAGAGAAAGAGAGAATATGAGAAACCATAAAGGCCGACTCGTAAAACCTTTAAGGAGTATGGGCCCGACACTTCGCGTCGACCACTTTTTACTTGCTCGAAGCCATCGTGCATCGCGGACTAATGAAGCTAGCACGGGAAAGACGGTTACTATACCGGGTGTGTCCAGCACTGAAAATGATTCGACAGCCCCCTTTAACGCGTCTCTACCCTTTTTCCTGAAAGAAAGATTTTAAGCAAAAACTACCCTGCTGCATGCGTGGGTCAATTGAACATTGATCTAAAAAAATTTGACGTGGATAAAAAATTCTGTTTAATTCTTGCACGACAGAAACTGAATTTTTTTTAATTTTAGTAATTTTTAAAAAAATTTTCTCGAAACTCAAAAGTCAAGAACATTGTGGAGAGACTGTGATGAATACGATACTCGAAACGATTGCAGAGAATTTAATTTAATTTGTTTTTAATTTTTCTTATGCTGTTTTGAAGATTTCAAGATCACCCTGAGTCTTTTAACCTATTAGCCCGCGAATTGGTTCCGCGACTGCCATGAACGTCGTGGCATTGGATTCTGCACGTCGTTCCAGCACACGCGTTAAAAATTAATTTCAGTAATCCTTTATAATCCCGTGACTTTGAAGGATCGTACCCATTATCTACATCTTTGTAACCTGATTTAAGTATGAATTTGGGGTCTCGAAGTAACGGTACGAGCTATAAACAATTTGCAACGTCCATTTTACTGTTTTTTTTGTTTATAATATAGTGAATATTATGCAAATTTATTTAAAAACAGAGGGAAATATTAAAGGTGCAAAATGAAGCTGAAAATTGATAAGAAAATAAAAATAGTAAAAGAAATAGATTTTATCAAATTAATAATGGAAAGTTTGGAAGGAGTTAAATAACAAGCGTTCCAGATGATATTTGAACAAGTTCACCGATGTTAAATAATAATAATTCTGGAATAGTTAAATAGTTGAAAATGTTGGCGTGAAATGTGATCTCGTAATATGGTATTTAATTATGTACTCGACTTCGGTATTCCGAGATATCACGGTCACCGTGTAGACACTTGGTAAGTAAATAATAGAAGCATGACCATCATTGTAGCAATAGACAGAAGGTGTCTTACGACGATAGCCTCCTGTATACTACATTCGAATGAATTGTCTAGACGTTGAGATATGAAAGGTCGGGTATGTCTATCGGTTGAATTTGTTTAAATGTCGTTCGACGAACGCATTGTTTAACCTTTTATAACCCCAAGCGACACCGAGGTCGTGCACCCATGTATTTTCAAAATCTGATTACCTGTGGCGTTAAAACATCAGTGTAACTATTTTTTTACGAGATAGTTTAATGGGGTTTTAAAAATTACTTTCTGATATCAAACTTGAACAGTATCACATTTTATAAATTTTAGCAGAAGCATCGATATGGACAGCAATTTTTTTTTGTTATAAGACAATTTAATACTAATTACAAATTTTCATAGCTAGTTGAGAACAATTCAAAAGAGTTTTTCAATTTATCAATTCACATTCCATCATCGAATTTTAACAATATTCTATTTTATAAATTTTTTCAGCAGCTAAAGACAGTTTGGATTATTAAGGATTACTATGGTTGAATTTTTTCACTATTATTCACAATTTCTACTATCAAATTTTGAACAGTATCACATTTTATAAATTTTATCAGAAGCATCGATATGGACAGCAATTTTTTTTATATAAGATAGTTTAATACTAGTTACAAGTTTTCATAGCTAATTGAAAACAATTCAAAGAGTTTTTCAATTTATCAATTCACATTCCACCATCGAATTTTAACAATATTCTATTTTATAAATTTTTTCAGCAGCTAAGGACAGTTTGGATTATAAAGGATTAACATGATTGAATTTTTCTCACTATTATTCCAGAATTTTTATCATGTAACGAAACATAATTCACGCTTAAAAGAGACTGCTGAAAGTTGCGTTGAAATTTTGAAATCCAAAACAAAAAAAAAGTGATCTACCTTATACGAAGGATGTCATATAATTAGTAGTGCTACAAAAAATGATTTTGCATATAAAAGTAAATAGAAAACGTGAACAATTTTTTCCCCCATGGAGCTTCGTTCTCTATAAAATCGATTCTGAAGATTCGTTGTACCATTCCACTCATAATCGATGGATCTTAATTTTACTGATCTCTCTGGTCTCCTCTATCACGTTCACACCAAACATAATATTAAATTAATTGCATAAAAATAATATTTCTGGTCATAAAACTATTTCCAAATGCTACAAATTTAGTTTACAAATTATTGCATCAAAATTTTAATTTCGTGCTTCAAACAGAGACAAGTACAATTTTTCTCGACGAATAAAAACTTGTTAAATTTAATCTTTACGTTATTCAAGTAAGTTTTTATTCGTTCAACTCGAAAACTCCATTTTGTAACAATAATTTAAATTTTCTATTCAACAACGCATAAAAGTAGTTTACATTTTATTTACATAAAAACATTTAAGATCAATTTTCTCAGAAACGAGGACTCGAGTACACTAATTTCCTCCCACGTTCTCGATCCATTTTTAATATAGCCTTTTTCTATATAGTCGTACTATTTATTGGGGGACACCCTGTATAGAAACGAAACCGCTGCAACCCTTCTTACCAAGCTGACCTCCTTTATCGCGCAAAGATCGTCTCGTGCAACGATAACTGTCCAACAAAATGCTCTTCACGGCGACGCGATTCATCGAGCATTTACTTTTTCTCGACGAAACATGCCAGTTAGTCGGTTCCCTCGTTCCTCTACCTCGGTGGCCGTTTCGTTCGCTGAATTAATTTTCGTCCTCTCGTTTTTAATTCCGTGCCAACAATGGCGACCAAAACCTTTCGATTTCTTTGCGAATCCAAACTTTAAAATCGCTTTTAACTCTCTGGTAATCGTGCAGTCGTTTCACCATTTTCAAATTCCCGCGTTATTATTTTAAAAGATGGCCGCGCGAACAACTGCCGAAGAAACGGGGAGACCCAGTTCGCGCGATTTAATCGCCGTCTTACCTCATTGTTCGCAGAATCGCAGACACACGATGCGTTCTCTTTTTCTCTCTGTTTCTGTCCACGGGAGAATGACGCTATATCCTCCGTCGAAAGGGAACAAAGAAAATGTTTTGCCTCGCGCCAACGTATTGCTCCTAGTCTCATAAAATACGAGATCGAAAAAGAGGATTGCCATGGCTCGTAAGGGGGGCAGGTCTAAAAGTATTATCGAAGTATGTATAGTCGTACGGAATAATAAGGTGAAAAAGAAGCGTGTAATGCGAGGGCAGAAAACTTTTCAGAGACGGTAAATAGCCGGGTGGCGATGACAAAAACTTTCTAGCGAGAAGAAAACTATTCCGAACAGCTTTTTCAGCGAGTTGCAAGCTCGTAACCGATTCTTGAAAATTCATTTCACATCATAGCCGAACGATTCAACCCCGGTGGTACCAGAAAAAGTCAATCTAGAGCCCTTTTAACTACAGTCCCCTGGGGGTAATTATAAAAAATAAGCAAACCAGCGGAAAAACAACTTTCAATCATTTTCTTGTGCTGGCAAATAGGGGTTGAAGTGATGATTACGAATAAAACGTTTCTGTGTTGGTTCTAAAATGATTCTAAAGCGTTCTTGTGTCAATTTTGTATCGTTTTTGCATTTTGCCCTAAATTAAAAATATATCAATTTCTTCAAAATGTTGCCTTGGGTATTTTCAATTCATATTAGTGCTTTGTTACTGTGTTTTATGTATTAGTAAATAAATCATATATATCTTTACACTTGTACAGTAAGTACAAATGGATAAAGCGATGGAATTTATCCAAATTATTTGATAATTGATATAGAACATAGAATCGTTTCAGAACTGATAGATTAGAAATCGATGTAATGTTCTGTAGAACCGTGATTACTATATCACTTATATCACTTCGGTTTTTAAGGGAGTATTTCCATTTGGGTACGTCGATTTTATATTGAAAAGAATTTCACGATATTCTTTCGAACAGATATCGAAGTTTGGAGAACTGATGTGTTAAAGTTAAAATTGCCTTTCCCTTACAATATCGACAAATTAAATAGTTTTTAAAACATTCTCATGACTGTAGTTAAGGGTTGACACAAGCATCGACTACTGTCAACCCTAATCCTACCAGTATATGGTTTTAAATTTGCAGGGTCTGTAACTTAATTTATATAACAACAAAGAAACTTCTTTCCCCTATAATATCGACAAATTAAACATTTTTTAAACACTGTCCAACAGTAACACCAATTTCAAAGCCTCATCTTTGTGCACAAAATTCTCATGACGGTAGTTAAGGGTTGACACAAGCATCGACTACTGTTAACCCTAATCCTACCAGTATATGGTATTAAATTTGCAGGGTCTGTAACTTAATTTGTTGATAATAAACTCGACAGAAAAAATCACTTAGAAATTAGTGAAAAAAGAATTTACAGTTACAAATAGATCAGGAACAGATCATTATTTACCTAAAATGGTTGTAAATTATTACTTAAATTTCGTTTCAACGTCTGGTGAAGAATCAAGTTAAAATATAATTGCAGAAAATATGTTCCAACCAAAACAAATCTGTTTCATAATTCAATAATACATAAACTTATCTATAAATTTCTTTGCAGATACTATAGCTTCTTACCTTCTGGTGAAAAATCAAGTTAAAATATAATTGCAGAAAATATGTTCCAACCAAAACAAATCTGTTTCATAATTCAATAATACATAAACTTATCTATAAATTTCTTTGCAGATACTATAGCTTCTTACCTTCTGACCTAAAGTCGTATCCTGGTAGGATTGGAGTTAAAAAACCCCCCAAAAAAGTATTAACTGCAGTATTAATCCGCGACCCCTGAATATACTTTCCCGTTTCGTCAGGTTCTCGTCGCGATATCGATTTTGCATAATTCCGATCGTGGACTATGGACGTTCGTTCCCTGAAAGATGTTTTTCCCAACATTGCTCTCGGGTTCTCGAGATTCTTAGCCGGTACAAAATAAAACAAGAAAAAAAAACAAAAAAAAAAGGGAAGAATACACTTCTGTGCCATTGTGTAATTTACGCCATAAGAATTGCCATAACGTATTTCGTTTTAGTGCTCTAGGCGAAGGAAAAGGAAGAGAGCGGCATCGCTGCAGCGCGACAAGATGGCGATGCTTCTCTTTCTTTTCTTTGGTCGCTCTCCTCGTGAGCCATACTTTATTTTTTACATTGTTTTTAGCATCTAGTACGCCACGTCGATTGTACCGCGCACTCGTTTTTTACAGTTTCGGCGAAACGCGAGTTTCTTTTAGTTTCATTTTTTTATTATTATTATTATTATTTCACGTTCAAACGTTATTTTTGTACCGGTGTATGCTGGATCGCAAAAGACTGCATGTAAATAACCAGTGCATAGTAATATATTTGTATTTGCTTGGACTTTCCCGATCAATATTCCCTCTTCGCTCGGTTCTCTTCACTTTTCGGTTTTTTCTTTTCGATCGACGGTTCTTTTTTAAGCAAATATTATTCCTCGTTTTACGCGCGACGTGTTAATCGTTTAGCTCGTTTAATTTTTATTTTTCGATTCTGGTATTTTTAACAAAAATTCAGGAACAAGCTTGAGCGCTTAAAAATAAGGAAAATTAAATAAAATATGTACTTTTCGAGAACCAGCGACGATTAAAACCGAGCAAAATATGTATCATCGGTAAAGGGTCGGATATATTGATCGCGAAATGTCCATTTTGTAAAGGAAGAAGTTTAAAGCTTATTGATGCGTCTCTCTAAGCGAAAATCTAAATATTTTCTATGAAATGTCGTGACAAGTTCTGTGTTCCGTTACTTCTACATGTTTCCACCGTTTTACCGTTTTGTTTAAATAGTGTCTATTTATTGCAACGCATTGTTTAAAATCTGTGCCGTGAAATTGGGAATTGTCGTTTAAACTCTATTTTGCAGTCTACGTGAAAACTCGAGAACTGGTTAAATATATACTTATACTTCAATATGATTATTTATATTCTAATATAAATATATATTTCCAACTGTGCGAAAGTATGATGCTCTGATAAAATTATTAAATATTTCAAGCATCGTCCATCCTAAACGAAGCAATAATTATCAGAAGTTCGTACGCTCGTGTTGTGTCTCGATTTTTCCGCATGCTCCTCGAAAAATCATTATAAATATTTTAATTAAAAATAATCAACAATTGAGTAATACTTTCCACGAAAAAATTCAACAAATTATCGTTTAAAATTTAATAAAGAATAAGTCAGAGAAATGTTTCGCTCGAAGTCGCTTGGAACCAATATGGCGGCGGTCGAGCGAAGTTCCCAACATTTCGCGGCGCAGATTTTCGAACGATGGCTACGTTTTAACGAACAGAAATACTGCGAGCCTATTTATTGTACGTTCTTAGCATAATCAGCATGACAATTACCACAAAATTCGATCACCGTATCAACGAGAAAAATAATTTTAAGCGAATGGGTGCAAACGAGCACGCCGCGACATTTCTGTGATATGGGACAATATCATTCCAGTGTACGTAGTGTTTTAAATAATCGTTAGACGATCATTACGCTCAAAGACTTAATCAAAAGAACGATTACGTTGTAGATATATCGTTAAGTGTATTTTTTATTTAGATCAAACGATAAAAATTCGATTTTAATTGTTACTATAGTATTACGTATCGTCGCCCCGCAAAATGGCGGCAAAATTAACTCGTAAAAGATGTCCAACGAGGGTCGCGTGGATTGTTTCATGGAAGTCGGGGGAAAAAGATATTTTTGCTGGCATGCGAATAAGTCGTGGGCTCGATGGCGGCCCCGCTGGACGATATTTTTTTATTTAGTATTGCGCGACGGTGCCTCGCGCGTAAAATTAAATTAAGGTTAGCTGTTAAGCGATTAACCATCGTCTATCACTTATACCAGAAGAGTAATGTGCCTTATATAAAATAGTATATAGATTTTAGATATCTTGACTTTTTGAAGGATCGATACGGGACGATTAATTTCTTTTTGAAATTCAAAGTTTATACAACTAAATTATATTAAAGATAAAAAATTTGTTTTCTGATCCGTCGTGGTGCGAAATTATAAACAGATAAAAGTCCCGTTTCGATCGTTCTACCGAAAGTAACAAAACATTTGCTTTTTTTTATTTACCAACGTATATTATAACGCACACAAGGATGATACGTAGTGTGTTTCTCTCGTCTGTTCAGAAACGGGTGTATTTTTAGGTCAGTCCTGTCGAATGTTCAATCGTTACCAGGATCCAAACTACTTAAAGTGCCAGCTTTGTAATACGTTCGTTCTTTATTGCCGATAAGATAAAGAAAGACATTATTAATTTTTCGTCTAATACGTCGGGTTCGAGGTAGCGCGGATAGTTAGACGAGGAACGAATAATAAATTATATTCATTAAAAGAATAACGTTTTAGTATGTCTTCTTTATGTATTATAGTAACGATAGATTGGAAAAGTTATAACAACGGTAAAGCGAAAAAAAAAATAATTTAAAATGCCAGTTCGCTGGAACAATTTTATTGATATTGGCGACTTCGAAGCTCTGTTCTTCTATTTTCAAAATTCAACGAAACGTTTTTTATACGCAGCACAAAAAAAAAAGAAAATATTTATTGGCGAAGAAATCCGATTTTTTGGCAGGCTTCGAGATTCGTTTTAAACATTTGCGAGTAATTATTTCGTCACTTTTAACTTGTTATATATTTTCAGCCGCGGATTTGAATACTCAGGAGATACTAAGGCAGGAACCACATGCGTTTTTAGATTAAGCTATATTTTAACGGAAAGCAAATCCTTAACATTGAGAAGGTTGATACCAAATAAAAGAGTAGTTAATGCAATAAATTAAGAAGTTTTGTATTGTTTTAGCGAATACGAATACGAATATTTTAGTACCTAGCTAGTAAGTGTTCTCTCTCTTTTTTTTTTATCCCTTATTTTAGAATTACGATTTTTTTTTTTATTTTAAACATGTACTAATTCGAGAATGCTCAATGTTCTCCTTCCCCCGTGCTCTCTCTTTCTTCTGTATTATTTTAGTTTTATTAGTTTCGAATGCATCGAGTAAGTTAAATTATGTTTGGTATTATCGTTCGAATGGAAAATAATTATTAGCATATCTGTGTCGTTCTAACGAAATTTTGTAAGCCCCCTCGGGGCAGGTTCCTGTATTTTGTCAATTGAAATATACTTAACTAATTATTTACCGTCGTTTCCTTCCTTTTATTTAAAGTACAAACTAGGGCACAAGGGTGACCTTTTAATTGTATTTATTTACAATACAAGCAAATTGTTATTCCTATAATACTAGAAACTTCCACAATAGTCTGAGAATCACAGCGAGAAAAATGGCCATGATTGCCGCTATCCTGTATTTCGATGGTTTCATTTCCATGGGAATCCCGGATACGGTTCCTTTTGGTAAACACGGTTTCAACGAAGGAGAGACACCCTTGCTGACCGGTACACCCTTCATGGAATACTTGGTCGTTTCTACGATTTCCACTTTAACCATTTTCCCCAAGTATTCCTTCCTAAGGGGCACCAACACCTGCTCGTAGGATTTGTTGTGTCCAACGTAATGCTTCTTATCGTGAGATACCTCCGTGACTAGCACGTCCTGGACGAGCCCCACTTTACCATCGTACGGCGAGTAGGATTGAAAGAACTCCGACAATCTTTTCGTTCGTTTCTTCACCTGTTGCGCGGGCACGCTTTGCATTCGGGCAGCAGGCGTACCGGGTCTGGGGAAGAACTGATTGATGAACAAACTCGGGAACTTGTACCTCTGGCAGAGCTTCATCGTTTCCTCGAAGTCGTCCTCCGTCTCTGTGGGAAAGCCACAGATGATATCGGTGGCCACGGTTAGCCCCGGGACACGTTCGCGCAGATAGTTCACGACGTGCTCGAAGTTGGCGCGCGTGTACTCCCGTTTCATGTCTGCCAACACCTGGTCGCTGCCCGACTGCACGGGGATGTGCAGGAAACTGTAGACCTTCGGGTGTCTCAGGATTTTGCTCATCTCCTCCAGGTGTTCCATGATGTACGGCGGGTTGGTCATTCCTACGCGGACCATACATCCGTCAGGAACCACTTGGACGAGTTTCCATAGCAATTCCGGCAAACTGGTGCCAATATCTCTGCCGTAAGTGCCCGTGTCTTCTGACGTTAACCACAATTCGCAGACACCCTCTTCGAACGCCTGTGTCGCCCTCTCGATGATCTGTTCCGGCGTGTAACTTCCCAGCTCGCCTCTCGCGTGTTTCGTCTTGCAGTAAGTGCACTGATTCAGACAGCCCGTGTTTATAGCGATGATCTCGATCAACGGGTTCCTACGCACCTTGGGCAGACTCAGAGAGACGCCACCGACTTTCTTACCGGCTTCCTTTTTCTGTTGCAGGAACCGCACCGTGTTTCCTTTCAACGTCTCCTCGACCACCTCCACGACACGATCGATTTGCTGCACGCCGATCATGCTCAATCCTTGCAAGAAAGACGATTTTGGCGCGCCCTGCGGTACGCATCTGGAAAAATATTGGGTTCATTAATAAAATAAAGACTATTTCAGATACATTTACATCAATAAATTTTCTGTATTAATTAGCTGTAACAATTGGATTGGATATTGATTCAATCTACAAGATTCAAGGTTCATTGATAAAGTAGAGGGTTAGAGACTATTTCAGATACATTTAGATCAATAAATTTTCTGTATTAATTAGCTGTAACAATTGGATTGGATATTGATTCAATCTGCAAGATTGATAAATATAAGAAAGAAGTAACTATGTATGTAATATTCATAGGCACATCTTATGGTAGAATATTAAATTAGATGCTTTCAGCTAATGTTTATCTCACAGGAAATAGGAATTATATACAAATTTTTATACCCAGCAACCACAACATGCTTTCCCTGTTTCTTTCCAGCCTCGATTTCGTTTCTAAAATGGTCCTCCGCAGGACTCTTCACTGTACAGGAGTTCAACACCCACAAGTCTGCCTCGTTCCTATTTTCCGTTAACTTGTATCCGTATGCAGCAAGCTGGCCTGCCATGTATTCGCTATCAGAATTATTATGCGTGCATCCCCAGGTTTTTAAATAGATTGTCTGAGTCCCTGGCACGATGCTGTCGAAAATTGGAGGTTCTGGGAACTCTGGTGTAAATTGTTTACGCTTCGAACGAATGGTAATATTTTTTCGTGTGCTATATCGTTCTTTCGGCGTAATGTCTTGGGAAGATATTAAATCTTCTATATCGTCGATAATGTCCACGCACGGTGCTGGCATTCTAAAAACTAAACAGCATAACCTATTTTCAGGTTAATTTCACGCTGAAGTCTGTTAATTGTTACTTACTTTTCAAACTACTTTCGTCAATTTCTTTTCGCGTCCTCACGATTTAATAAAACCATTAATAAAATATGGTAGAACACGTAAAAAGTGAGGTTAGAAAGAATTGTATAGGTTATGTTTTAGAATGCTTGTCAACACATGTGTGTCCTCCAAGTTTTAACAGCAACGTTTTCTATTGGTTACGAAAATTAAGTGCAACATGTTCTGATTGGTTCAATTTATTCTACAACTAGCTAAGGCATTTAAAAATTCTGTACAAGTTTTTCATAAAGTATTTAAAGCATTAAATAACAATAAATTGTAATGATAGAATTTGATTGCATAGCGTATGATATAGGTATTTCATCGTACGAGAGTTGGTATCACACAAACTAAAATTCCCATTCGTAAAATACTAGTAATTTTGGGGTGACCTCTTCGTTTAAAAATGGTAATTTCGAGGACTATATTTAATCAAACACTAAAATTGTATTCCCACTTACATATAAAATCAATTAGAGTAAATAGGAAGTTAATAATGAATGAGAAACAGTCACAAGAGGAGGGGAGGAGGGCTTCAAAAGTTTTACTTTTAACGTGGGGACGAAATATCTCAAAGTACATTTTTAAACTTTCTTTTGATCGAAAATCAATTGACTTTATTGTTGGGAATTATTAACAAATTACACTTGTGAATGGTACTAGTAGTTGGCGGATCGTTCTTCCGCAATTCGGATCAGGGTATCAGAATGTTCTCTGCATTTCTCTTTCTTAGTTATCTGGGCATTGTTTTTCGCAATTACGACTCGTTTACATAACCGACCATTCTCTGCTCTGCTCGAGAGACTCATTGTTTCGCGTTTTCTCGATTTAACGTTATAAACAATTTGAAGAATATTCGACACTTGAATGTTTCACACACACGGGCATTCGAATACCAACGTCGCTGTTTTCAGACCACGCATGTGCATTGCGTGCAGTTGTTTTGGCACCACTGTTGCTGGATGAATTTGAAATAGTTTTCCGTTGTAGTTTGTAATTGTGAGTAGTTTGTGCGGGACGTTGAATTTTGAGTTCATTTACGCGTAATATAATGTCATCGCGTCAACAAAAGTATAAACAGATGCCTATTGGTTTTGGTAACATACAAAAGGGTCGTGCTGTTCGTAACAGGGAACAAAATGAATTGCGGAAATATCGCAGGGCGGAGATTGCAATGGATAATAGAAATGGATTGGATACACGTGCTTCTGTATCGCAGAATACAGGTTTGCAAAGCTACTTCTGTTTAATTATTGTGCACCATATTTTTGACATCCGTACAATGCAAAGGCCCTGAAAATACGTTGAATCTATTTAAATTTATGTAGTGGTTATATTTTATTTTCAGAAACAGAGGTGCCTGGTAATGTACGAAATCGTACATCTAAACTTCTAACGTGGAGAACTGAACGCGATAAACGTAAAATTATGGAGGAAGCAAAAAAGGTACGTCCATTTGTAGTTGGTTCTGTGCATCATAAAATGTATTCTCCGGTGACCACGGATGAAGATGTATCGATTGTAAAGGTACAGAAACAAACTGTACCATTGGTACCTAACCCTCCTTCGAAAAGAATTACTAAAGCCACAGAAAAGAGGTTGTTGTATAAAGCACAAGCAAAGAATGTAACTCCTTCAACAGGTTTAAATACTAACGGCACTAAGGAACAAAAAGTTCAAAAGGGTAAGGAGCAGATAACTGTAAAGAAACAGGAGCAGAAAACTGTAAAGAAACAGGAGTTGAAAACTGTAAAGAAACAGGAGCAGAAAACCATAAAGAAACAGGAGTTGAAAACCATAAAGAAACAGGAGCAGAAAAATGTAAAGAAACAGGACCATTTCCATGCTTCGTCTAATTATAATTTGAAGCATTCAATAGGACCCCACCAGAGGTTAGCGTTTGGTAGAACAGCCATACCATTGCCTATTCCGACGAAGAAAGACACTGCCCCATCTTTGAAAACAACAAGGGCAAGTAGAACTGGCACTACCAAATTTATTGTAGGTGACAATCATGATCAAAAACACAATGCGTTAGCAATGGTCGATGTGGAAAAAGATACGCATGAATCGGATGAAAGTTCTATCGAAACCATAAAATTAAATATTTCATCGGATGAAAATGAAACATTTAATATATCGAATGATAACGACAACAAGAATAATATTATCGCAAATGATGATGAAAATAGTAACAAGGAAGAAGAAGAACATGATAAATCATGTAATAACAGTGTTAAAGAATCTCAAATAATACTTAATAATAGTGCTAAAGTAACACAGTCTTCCTCGAATAATAATACACCTACATCAGCCGACGCCAATTCCCCTAACGAACCAGTGTTCTTTTCACCATATGTAGTTACCAGTCGTGGGAAAAGTAATGCTAGGAAAGAGCAACAGTTGAAACGTGGTTTCAGCCTTAACTCTTCAAGAAACGACAACATTCCCACAAAAGATACCGTTATGAAAAATTTAAATATTTCGATCGAGGAGGAAGAACGCACTGCGCAGTATTTTCAATTTCTTTTAAACAAGGAAATAGATAGATTAAGAGAATTATGCGAGAAATGGGAAAGGGTGAAAACGGAGGCCACAGAAATCACAGAAGATGCACAATACCAAATTATTCAGGCTATTGGACAAACGAATTTGCTAATAACTAAGAAGTTTGAAAGATTTCGCGGTTTAGTTTCCGATTGCGAGACGGGAAAGGGAGAAATGTTAGTCACGTGTAAAGATTTACAAGGATTCTGGGACATGATGTACATGGAAGTAAAGAATTGTGATTTGAGGTTTGAAAAGTTAGAACAACTCTGTTCGCGAAACTGGGAAGAAGAGGAACCGTCTGCCATTATCAAGCCGCTTGTTAAAAAGAAAAAGATTGCGAATAAAAGAGTCGTGCCTACAAAGTCAAGTTCAATCAGGGCGTTTTTGGCAAGAAATAGAAGGAAACAAGAAACAAGCGTTGAAAACAGTATAAAAGCGGCTAAAATTATAAGTAACAAAGAATCAATCAATAAACACAGACTGAGTGGAAGCAGCCCTAATGTAAAATTTAAAACAAGAAGATATAAATCAATGGATTTCAATAGCCACAAACGTGCATCTCTTAAACGCAATGGATCAAGATTTACTCTGTTACGAGAAGTACAATTATCCGAATCCAGAAAACCTCCATCTTCTCTAAATCTAACGAAAGTATCCTGTTTTAACGATACTATAACACCCGGGAAAAGTATACTAAAGCAACCAAAGAATTCAGTTAAAATGGAGTCCAATGCGAAAACAACTCATAAAGTGAACTTCAATGATACAGTAGAATTAAATGAAGTTCAAGTCGATGAAGAAACGCAAAGAAAGATGGATTTAGCTACAGCATTTGCTAGAATAGACAGTCTTGACTTTGATTGCCCCGAAGAAAATGAAGCAATTCATGCAGAAAGGAAATTAGATTTTACTAACAGCAGTTTCCTTGAAATGCAAGATCCTGAAAAGGAAAACGCATTAGTTCCAACTATACAAATACAATCCGCGACACCGTTGCAGGAGTCTGTATCAAATAATAATTTAAACGCGTCGTCACGAAGGGTAGACTTCAGGAGACAGCATGCTATCGATGAAAATGACGAAATATTTTATGAAACTGATAAAGTATTCGATGAAGCTGACAAAACATCTGAAGAAACCGACAAAACATCTCATGAAACTGCATTGCTGAACACTACAATTTCCATGCCATTTGTAGGAATGACTGACGTTGCAGATTTAAATGTATTGAAAGAAAAATCGGGGAACGACGAGCCTGTGAATGATAAAGAAGAAGTAGATAATGCCAATGAAAGTGTAAAAGTTTTGAGAACTAGAACTGTTATTACAGGAAATACACCTCAGCCTAAGAGAAGATATTCGCAGAAATTATCTCTAAGTGTAAACGAATCAGAGCATAAGGAAAATAAAACTCCTTTGGGAACGAGAAGAAGTTCCATGAGAATCACTGCCAGAAATAATGAGAAGATTAATTCGAAGATAGATTTGCAGGTTGCTACGGATAATTTGAACTTGAGTGAAAAAGTTGGCAAGAGGAGGTCCAAGAGGAACGTCAAATTTTCAGGTAATGTATGAATAATTATTTATAGAAAAAGTATTTAAGTGATAAATCAAGAGGAAATACCGATCTATTAAAAGAAAATTCGCGTTACACCTGAGATATAATAAATAAAAAGATTGATGTGGTCTTTTGGAATATTTATTGGAAACATAAATGACTTATCAGTGGGGCTCCATCTAGTAGATTTTGGTTTATGGGGGTCATAAACATAATGATTCTAGCTGCAGTAGTTGTATAATAATTTCGAATGGCCGTTCAACGCGAGTACAGTCTCGTATATTTACAATAATTAAATTTATAGCCCCTATTAGATGCGATTAACAGTTCAACCGATTTTTATTCATCAAACATGGCTGTATTTAGTCTATTTTTAATTGTAGGTAGTTTTAACAAAATTATTCAAATAATTTCCAACTAAAAATGCTCTACTTAGATTGTTTAATTCATTTTTGTTGGAGAAATTTTATTTTAAAAATTTTGAGAAATATTGGGGAGATGATAATCATTTTCACTTGAAATTGGGGGCAAAGTAGATATAGATAGTCGAATGTGTGAAATAATCGTTAATAGGCTATTGATGTTTTATGATTTATGAGTGATATTCGGTTCAATAAATATTTCGTAGACTCCAATGATACTACAGAAAATGAACCAGTATTTCCTATGACTCCACACGTTCGACGAAGTAAAGTACAGTCTACTGAAACAGGACGAAAAAGTGCACATACAGAAGATGATGCATCAGTACAAACTCCAAAGGAAGGTAACCATCAATTTTATAATTTTCATATTTTATTTATACACGTGATTGGTTGTATTGAATCTGAAGTTAAAAAATTTAGACAATTAAAGTTAGAACATCGAACAGGGTGATATGTTAATATAGAATTATCCTTTTTCATTTGTTCTGGTAAAACTATATCATTAGTCCTTGCTGGCTGGGAGTTAATAACGAAATTAGGGAAAAATTCAGAGATTGTTTACATAGACTAAATCATGTTTCAAGAATAAATATTTTTTTTCTCTGTATTCGAGTAGTAATTAAAATATAAAATGACAAATAGAATCGTAGATTCCTATGAAGATCTAGCTTTGTGTATATTTAGGTATCAAATACAATTTTTATTTTAGTTCCTGCACGGGTTAGACGATCACGGAATAGAAAGGCATCGTCCGTGGATGAATAGTAATTTAATCGTACAACAATTTTTCCAAAAGTTTGTTACAATTATATAGCGATGTTTAATTTTCTTAATTTAAATTTTCTCTAAGTTATTGTTTTCATTGTAAATAATTTTTTGATAGCTTAAATGAATGTGCCTGGTAATGTGTAAATAATTTATCAATAAACAACGATTTTAATACGTGGATTGGATTTCAAAAACTGTATGTACCTGTATGATATTTATAGAAATAAAGTTGATTTATTTAATACAGTACAAAATGCGTTTTTCAATACGTATAACACTATTTTTTACAACATAAATGATAGACAGTTGGATTTCGGTTAGGTTGATTAATTTGTTTATACTCATATACAGGGTGTTCGACCATCCCCGGGAAAAATTTTAATGGGAGATTCTAGAGGCCAAAATAAGACGAAAATCAAGAATACTAATTTGTTGATGGAGGCTCCGTTAAAAAGTTATTAATGTTTAAAGTTCCGTCCGTTTTGAATTTTTTTCTCGAAAATGAGCAAGATTTCGGGGGTATGTCTATTCACCAAAAATGATTGTAATTGGCCCCCGCAACCGAAAATAATTTTTCCAAAACGATTTGAAATTTTTTTTCCCCGTCGAAAAATTTCACACCTCGAATTTTTTTCTCGAAAGTGGATAGGAATTCAAGGGTATGTTTAATGACCAAAAATGATTGTAATTGACCCCCGCGACCGAAAATAATTTTTCCAAAACGATTTGAAATTTTTTAATTTTGTCGAAAAATTTCAACCTCGAATTTTTTTCTCGAAATTGGGTAGGATTTCGAGGGTATGTCTATTCACCAAAAATGCTTGTAATTGACCCCTGTAACTAAATATAATTTTTTTAGTATGATTTGAAATTTTTTAATTTCGTCCAAAAAGTACTTGAATTTTTGTCTTGAAACTGGGTAGGATTTCAGGGGTATGTGTATTCACCAAAAATGATTGTAATTGATCTCCGCACCCAAATATAATTTTTTCAGAATGATTTGAAACTTTTTAATTTAATTTTTTAATAATTTTATTTTGGTCTCTAGAATCTCTCATTAAAATTTTTCCCAGGGGTGGCCGAACACCCTGTAAATTTATAAAGTACTATGTGTTCAACGTTTTTAAATAAACGTTGAATTTAGTTTAAATTTTTACACTCTACTATAAAATGTATTCTTTAATATTGTATCCCAGAATAATTAAATATAAACAATAAATTGTATAAATGCTTGTGTGATATATAAATCTAACCATTTTGGAAACGCAATAAAACACTGAGTGGCGCATCTCCCTACCCTGCCCTTGCAATTTCAGGAAATCGGAAAAAAGAACACAGAATATGGAAACATATTTTTGTATTATTTGTGAATCCGGGGGATCGAATTTGCAAAATAAAAACAGTCTTTTTACGACGGTAGTTTTCCTAATAATCGATGAAAACTGCCGACTCCGATGATTGCGTAAACTGGTAATATTTTAAAGCGAACAAAGCCCCTGATATCGAGTACAAAAGTGATCTCGTCTTGTGGGCTCGTCCGAGCGTCGTTCGCGATACCGTGGTCGCGTAGGGACTGCGCAGAGTTGAAAAGAATATGAGCGGAAGTGAAATACGATAAGCCATAGTGGATTAGTCACACTCCCATGCTCACATTTTTTCGGTTATTATTGGTCGAAGCGGTCACATACGTTAAACTCGGACCTACTTCTATGTCAAAGCATACCATCAAGGACCAAATTGTGGTGGTTGGAGGTCAAAGGTACAATACTCTTGCTCCTTATCTTTTAAGTTTTGCTTAGAACCAAGTCTGAGTAACCGTAAGATTTTTAAGTAAATTTATATACTAATAACATTTTATTTATTGTTAGATCATGAAGTACATCGAAGGTGGCGAATCTCTATTTGAGGGTTACAAGAGTCTCATTAGTTAGGTGATCAAGAGAGTTTTGGATGTTCTAGGTCTGCACAGCTTTTTGTAAATAAAGAATTAAATTAATTTTACAATACTTATAATTTTTTTACTAAGTTTATCTTGTATTTGTGAATGAAGGGTAGAGAAAGGATTCTGTGTAATTGATAATGATGATAATAATAGTAGTGATAATTTACTGTACGGGTAACATCGTCTGAGTATACATTTAATATACTACAGAAAAATAAAACGATAAGAATTACAAGTAGTATGGTTCACAATAATGTCATCAAGTTTTTTTTTTAATTGGCTCGGTAAATTTGTAAGAAAGACTAGCGTAGCGGAAATAAAATTTGCTGCTATGCAGATTCTAGTTAGTGGATCGGAATTTCCATATTTAGAAGTATAAATCTGTGGCCTTAAATTTAAAATAAAAATCTCTTCTGATTAAATTGTAAAGAACAGTTATGTTTTACTTATAATTTGTCCTGCTTTAAATGCAATAAAACAGGAATTTATGTTACGTACTTTCTATCATCTGTTTATGTTTTATTAGGTTGGTCGACCATGTACCTGATGCATATTCAAGCTGCGACCTTACAAGTAAGCAGTAAAGCGATCGAATGCAACATGTATTGGTGAGTAATTAATTATTATTATTTTAAGCAATAGAGCTTTAAGCAATTTATTATTATAAATGAAAAACGAATTTTTAAGAAAAATCGACAAGGGGGAGTGCCTAAATTTCTCGGCGACAAAAAAAATTCGAATCGTTCTAAAAAAATTATTTCTAGGTTCTGGGGTCAAATACAACCATTTTTGGTCAATACAGATACCCTCGAAATCCTACGCAATTTCGAGAAAAAAATTCAGTAAGTGGACAAATTTTTCGACGAAATTGAAAAATTTCGAATCATTCCGAAAAAATTATTTTTGGTTATGGGGATCAATTACAATCATTTTTTGTGAATACACATATCCCCAAAATCCTACGCACTTTCGAGAAAAAAATTCAGGAAGGTGGACAAATTTTCGGTGAAATTTAAAAATTTCGAATCGTTCTGAAAAAATTATTTTTATTTGAAGCGATCGATTACAATCATTTTTGGTGAATAGACATACCCCCAAAATCCTACCCACTTTCGAGAAAAAAATTCCTTACCGAAAACATAATTTCAGGCCAGAAATGTTGCCCCGAAATTTCATGCAAATCTTTAAAAAATCATAACTTCTGAACTGATTAGAGGATTTTAATGTTTAAAAATGGAAACGACGCGTATTTTGCTGAAAAATGTTTAGAAATTCTAAGAATGTACGAAAAGTTGTTTCTTGACTTCGTAGAGTGAGAAAAACCCCATAAAAATGGGGCGAAAAAATGGTTTGGATGTAAGGTATACTTACATACCTCGTCTGTGATGTTATTTATCACAAACTTCTTGTTATTGATAATTGAATTAGTCTAAGATTAATTTGCTACGCGATAGTCGACTGTTTCCATCTACCACGGTCAATCTTGGACTTTGAGAGGCAACATTTACGAACGTTGGCCACGTTAATAGGCATAATTTCCATTATTGGTCCTTTGAAAATTCTCATTAGATGCGAACACCAGCGTTTTAGTATCGATGGTCACCAATCGTTTGGCGTGGCATCGCCAATAACGTAATTATCGGGTCATGTTCCGTTAATGGTTCTTTAATAAGTACAGCATCTGCAATTTTTCGCTAGAAAACATTTTGTCAGAACACTTGCAATGCTGCAACTGCAAAAATACTAACAATTATTTGAAATCGAATTAAAGAAAGAATTAATTAACGGTTGGAAAACATTTTTAACATTTTTATTTTTAACAGTTTTCAATTTACAGACCATTGAATTTATTTATTTTCCAATTAATAACTCCTTTGAACGCATATTTATTTTATTTTGTGGTTTGAATTGTTCAAATGAAATATTTCATTATGGATTACAAAAATAAAAGTATTTTATTCCCCCAGAAATTATTAATTCGATTTGTAAAGAATTTCTCGGAATTTTAATTCCGTGTGATAATCGACGCGATCGAACAAACTGTTTATATGTTGTTTTGTTTAAAAATTATTTGAAATGAAAATGTCGATTCTTTTTTTACGACACGCTGCATTTGTGTATGATTGTGAAGTTACTCGGGTAGGAAAATTGCAAACAGGATGAAGAGAGTGTTTTGTCAGGTTTCAGGTATAGAATGATCCTATCCTATTCTAGAGGACTGGGCTTGCGCATTGGATGGTTTTCCGTTTGGCTTGCTCGACGGCGAGATGCACCTACTTAGTTCCGTCAGTCACGTGGAGAACTTCCGCGACTGCGGTTCGCCTAATCCGTTTTCCGTTTTTCGTCGGGTTCGTCGGTTCCTTCGTGTTGTGTTTAGTGGTACGAAGTGATCGATCCATAATAAAAAAAAAGAAACAGCCGTGTTAACGATCAATTTGCCGAGGACTCTGGCAAAGGTAAGCCATAATTCAAATTTATTAGTCTCTTACCAAACACTGCTTTCCCGGCGCGTTTTCATCATAATTGTGAATCCCCAATGCACAGGTGTCGCACACAGCGAAAATCAAAAACATTGTCAAGTTGAATCGAAGAAAATTATTGCTCGTGTTAACGCATCGTAAATTACAATTAATTCGTATATCATAATGTACAGAAATTCGTGCATCATCAGATTAAATTTATTATTTTAATAAACTTTGTTAACGAATTAGAAAATCACAAAAAACTCAAATCAAAATTAAATCATTAAAGATACATAAGTTGACATAATTGATCGATAGCTGTCGATTTTTCTGACGTGCTAAAATTTTGTTTTTAATAATATTTGTCACGGTATTTATTGTTTTAACTCCATAGAAGCAAGTTCTATTCAAGTTCAGTTTTTTCTAATAGCTTATTTTGAGGATTAAGGGTGTTAGTAAAAGATTTTGTCATTTTTAAATGGTTAACATCGTGAAATTAAATTTTTACAATAATACCAAACTGTCGTTATTAATCATTTTTAGATATATCTGAAATGTAAATGTTTGTAATTTCACATTTTATCAAATTATAGTAGGTTTCAATGTAGAGATTTCAAGTTTAATATCGTCTTGTTGAAACATCAGATTGTTTACAATTGCATCGCGGTGAT